CTTTTGAGGTGCTGTATAAGCCACGTCGGAGGCTCCTGATGGGGGCTTAGCCCCACACCTCTAACACAGCTCTCCCTGGATTGCACAAGGGACTGTGATCAGAGGGGATAGTGTGATTTATACCTCGCCCCTACGAAATTCGAAGACAAAATACTGTATTAATATTGTACCCTGTAAATCTTTTCTCGCATTAGCAGCCCTCTGGTCAAGTTTGCCAAAGAAGCATTGCCATATGTGCTGATGGAGCGGAGCTAACATGAGAAGATTAGAAAACTAACCACACTAATAAATTTCATTTGAGGCAGTTGGAAAATAGACTGCTGTTTTGACAAGTTAGAAACAACACACACATCCATTCTCTGTTTCTAATGGTTAAAATGGATTTCCAGAATCCAACAGAAACATCTTATATTAGAAACCTAATTTTTCTGCTGAGTTACCCAGATGTCAAACATATATGTGCTTTAGACCTCAGTGTGATCGTGCTGAAGTGCCCTAATGAGACGGGCTGTTTTAGGCATTACTGAGCCACGTTACCCCTCCTCCCTCCGAAGCCAACGACCCAGGAGAGCTATTGCAATTCCCACCTCAGTGACTTTTCATTGTCCTGCAGATCGTGACACGTCCCAAAGGGTACTGACCCAGGAGGAAGGGTGTCAAGGCCCACAACTGTAGGGGCACTCAGACTGTCATCTTCAGCCACCTTCGTGTCCCTACTGAGCCAGGGGGCTCACCACGAGAACGGTACATACCCAGTAACTGCCTGAGTGCCAGCATCTGGCCCAGGTGTCAGGAATGGATTCGTGCTCTGGTTTTATTCTTACTGAGTTGAATATGGTGAAACTTGGGGGCCTCTCATCATATTACTTCAACCTCCTAATTACTCCCCTTGCCAGGGATCCATCTCTGCCCTTGCCATCTCTCCTTCACCTGCCTCTAGAACTTTTTACTTTTTGAAATTTGCTCTTTAAATCCCAAATCCTTTAAAAGGATTTGGTCCAAGCTCCATAGTGTGGCCTGGGAAAGTAGAAGTACAGTGTTCTAGGTAGGAGCCCCCCTACAGGCAGACCTCCTGGGCTAAACCCCATCCCCCCATCTGATAGCTGAGTGACATTAGGGGTCTGTCTCAGTTTCTTCATCTGTCGACGAGGCAACAATAACACAACATGAGTTACTGGTACTGACTTATGTGGATTAACTGTGCTGATTCACATAAAACACACAGAGTAGTGCCTGGGGTGTAATTAGTGCCCCCACGTGTACTGCCTGTCATCCTTATCCCTGCTGCTGTTACTTGTTACAGGGTCTGTGATCCAGCTGTAACTTCCAGTGGTCTTGCCTCGGCCCCGGATGTGCCATGATCTAGAGATTTTGCATGTACTGTTCCCTCTGCATGGACCCCTTGCCCTCCCGTCTAGCCATGTCTTCTTTCCCCACTGAATCTCACCTTATCCTTAAAAATCCAGGTCAAGTGTCTCCTCTCTACTGCTTTTCTTGCTCCTGCAGGCAGAACAAGTGGTTCTCTCTCTCCCTGTTCCCACAGTACTTTGAAATCCCTGGGCTGTGGTCCTTACCACTCTGTGTTCCAGTGCTTTGTCCCCTTTCTGGTGCACACAGACACCCAGGCTTCCCTTCCTTCTAAACTGAGAATTTTCCCCGGGGACGGCACACACCTCGCATGTTCATGCACCCTAGCAAGCCCACAGAAAGCATTTGGTAAATGTTTGCCGAACGAATAAATATTTGCTGCCCTGTGTTTAGTCTTAAATACATGGTTTTCCTTTTTGTTTTGTTTTGTTTTTGCTGTTCACAGTGCATTACTAAATTTATAGCGAGAAAGACAAATCTCAGTAGTGTGAAAGGCCGGCTGGAGTGATTGTGTCGAACACTGGAGTCATTTGGCTCTGTGGGCTGGTTTTTATTAGTCCTCGAAAAAGACTGTCACGGTGTAGTTACAGAGACAAGAGATCATCATTTAAATCACAGTGCTTTCAGCCCATCCATGGTTTTGGTCTACAATTTAATGATGAGAAAAATACCTCTAGCAAGTAAATATTTAACTAAGCATTTTGGCACTTGACCTGAATGCAGAGAGCAAAATGGCAATTGTAAATGTGAAGATGTAGTTTAAACAGCTTATCCCTGCATTTTCCTAGAAGAAATTAATGTTGTGCTTTCATAAAGTAATAATAAAGCCTTTCTTATCATGTTATAGATATCATATTATCTCATATCATGTAGTGGAAGTAAAATAATAGTGAGTGAGTGAAGTTTGGGAGGAGAGAGTGCCTGCCTTGAATCAGAGCACTGGCTTAGCCCAGATGCTTTCCTGCTCACGTCTTCTGTGCTGCTTTGCTCCACTTCCTTTGTCAAGAGTGCAGGCCTACTCAAGTCAGCCCGAGCACGGGGGAGCTTCCGGTAGGAGTCACACTTGAGAGAAAGGAGGCAGAGGTCTTACTGGGACGCCAGGGCAGGAGTTCCACTGGAGCCTGGCCTCAGTGGGACCGGGCGATGGTCCTGGCTGGCCTCCCTGCCTGCGTGCATTTCATGGGCTGTGTGTTCTCCTTCCATGTCTCCATTTACTCTACACTCTCTTCTCTGTGCCAACCCATTCCCTTTTTGCATTCATGGTTCCTCCTTCCTCGTGGCGTTGTTACACACGTGGCTTCCCTTGGCTGCTTTCCACACTCCACCTGGTATCCTCTCAGCTGGGCCTCCACGCTGACTGGCTGATCACCTCCGAGTACTCCTTCATGCCCTTGACTGGTCAGCTGCACTTTCAGAACCAGGCCACAGGGCCCAGGTCTCGGACATCATTGGCTGCACGTCCGTTAGGGGTCTTCCTGTTGTTCGGTCAGCTGCGGTGCTCGGGGTGGAGCAGGCTCAGAGTACGGCTGCCTGGGGAGACATGGCCAACTCAAGTGTTCACGGGGTCCAGACGGTTATGTCAGTGGACAGGCGAGTCTGGGTGTGAGAGGCAGATACTGTTTGCATACTAGACATAAGCCAGAGGTGAGTGTTGTCTATAAGCAGAGATTCTTGATGGGAGGGGCTGAAGTTTGAATCCCAGTCTCACCGTTTATAGGCTGGAGAGCTGGGACTGAATTACTTAATCCCTGTGAGCCCCTGGTCTCCTCTCTGTAGGGTGGTTGTGAGGATTAAATCAGTTAGTCAAGTGCTTAAAATGGTGCCGACACATAATAAATGATGCGTTAACTGTTGTTTTATTTTTTTAAAGAAAATTTTCATTTGTATCAGCATACTCATCATCATTTAGTTCCACAGTGAATGAGCTTACTCTCATTTTTCTTAAAACATGAAGCTCCCTTGCCCTGTCTGTCTAGTTTCCCCCTTTCTGAAGAGCCACAAGCACAGAGAAACAGTATCGACGGAGCAAGGGAAAAGATGAAGACAGCTGGCACTTGTCTTCATTGTCTTATTGGCATTGAGGTGTGGTGGGGACCTTGGCTAATGGATGCGTGGGTCCTAGATGAAAGGGCGTGGCCTTACCCAACGGGAGCAGAGTGCTGTGATGTGAGAAAGAAGCTCGGGGTGTCACATCTAGCTCTCCTTACAAGAAGCTCACACTATGTTTGAAACCTTATGTTACTCAATGAAACAAACCCACAGGCTGATATGTACAGCCCTCGACCCAGTGACTTTTGGCCACAGGCTGCTGCGTCAGGCAGACAGTACAGGCTTGGCTGGTATCTCAGGAGAGGTTGCAAGTGGACCTTCTTGTATCGATGAATTAGAACATTGCGCTAAGGAAGGACAACACCGTGAATCCCCTCTCAAGGACCCCATTGTGACATGGGGAACAGTATATTCTGATTCTCCAGGTTAGCTTCCCACGAGTTTTTAAGAAAAGGCATCTGCCTTTGATTTTACTTTCTTAGGGCAAATGAAAACATTTTTTTTTAGTGTAAATATTAGGTCCACTACTATTGCAACTGCCTCTCCTAGAAGCAGCCCTTTCCTGTCCAAGGCCACACCTCCCTCTTGTGCTCTGATTCTTACTTGATTCCCACTCAGGCCAACATGTCCAAAACGGAGCCCTTCACCTTTCACCCCCGACATGTGACCCTGCAGAGGCTTCCTCCTTCTACCCAGGGGTTCATGCTAAAAACTGAGCCATTGCATTCAAACACAATTTTTCTTGGTGTCACAGTCTCCTCTCCTGCACCCTTCCCCCTACACATAGAACACACTGTGTCCTGTTTATTTTCTACACAGCAGCAGGAGTGGCCTTTTAAAACTATGAATTAGCACATCACTCTCCTCCTGGTCAAAACCCTCCAATTCTCATCTACCTGAGGACATGTGAAACTCAGGACCCTGGCCTGTGGTGTGGCTGCAGTGCCTGGGCCCTCCCGGGCTGGCCTCCTGCGACGGGGCACACTGCTGTCCACCCGCTTTGTGGGCACCCCGGCTTGTGCCTACTCTGCTGTCTCTGCCCTGTCTGTTCCCCTCCCTGGAATGCGGTTTCCCCCAGTGGTTACTCCTTCAGAAAGGCCTCTCGCTCTCCCTCCTTCCGTCTGAGACCTGTCGGAGCAAGAGCAGTGTTTGCCGTGTGCTTGTCACTGCAGCATGGTTGCTGAGTGAGTGAGTGGTTCAACTGTGAGCATTTAGGGGCGGAGAAGGATGAGGAGGGTGTTAGAAAAGCATAATATAGTCACCAAAGTTCACTCATTTAAGAGGCAGGAGGGAAAAAAGCAGACTCGCTGTAGAATGAGATTTCCTAGATCATTAATGCTACTGATTCGCCCAATGTGCAAACGATGTGGAGTTGAGAGGGGATTTGCTTGGGCTGATGTGGCATGAGTACCGTGGGACATGAGTACTGCAGCTTTCCGTTTTGTGCATTCTTGTGAAAGGTAATAGAAAATCGCCACAAAGATCGCCCCGGTTTCTACATGGTGATCCCTTCTTTAGAGCTGTTAATTTGTTTAATTAATGCAAATTTATTTAATATACCTCTACTTTCTGTTGTTTTTTAGGTCTGTTGCCACAGTTATTGGGAGTCGCCCCAGAGAAGGCCATAAAACTTACAGTAAGTCTTTTGAGTTGATGCTTCTTATTAAAGGCGTTTGCACACACTCAGGATCTAGTCGATGTTCATGTGTGAAACGGCAGGTTTGTGCTTCCTCAGAGCTGTGGATTCAAACACGGCACCCACCACACATAGCTTTTCATTTCTCCCCATTCAACACTGAACATCCAAGAATGTGACAATATGTTTGAACAAAGGTTTTTGGTGGTTATCGCTGTTGTCACCATTGTTGTCATCCTCACCATTGTAGTACTGGCAGCAGCGGCAGCTACATCCCCTCCAACCAAGTAGCATGTTGGTACTTCACATGTGTCACCTATTGTTGTTTTAATCTCAAGTAAAGCATGACCCACAGTTTACAGACAAGGGAAGTGAGACCCACAGGGTTTAAATGCTTGCCTGTGCTGACATTATGCATGAGTGGGAAACCCAGAATTCAAAATCAGATTTTTCTGACTCTAGAGCATGAACTCCTTGAATTGAACCTGCTGTTTACAGAATTCAGGGTTAGGGCACATCCTATAAGCATTTGCTAAAGCCACGCGTTGAGGGGCCTGAGCAGGTGTTGAAGCTGACCCTTAATGAGATGGTTTCTCCAGTGTCTGGCAGATGGCGGGTACTCAGTGAGTGTTTGTGGAATGGGTAGATGCTGCATTTATGTCACCAAGGGCGTGAGACCCAGAAAGTTAAGCTCCACGTTTAGATTGGGCTATGTAGCCTTTGTACCTGGAATTCTCCTTGTACCATCTTATTATATGGCTGTGGGGCAGTTAATCTTTTCTGGCTTTTATCTTCCAAAAACATATGATTGATCCTTAAAATTGCTTATAATGAATACTATTTTGAGACTATTATACTTAATTAATTAATTAATGCTATTAACGTTCTTTGAGAATCCTTAAGAAAGTTTTTAGGAACTGAATTTTGACTAAGTTGAAAAATCGGCGCAGCCAAATTTGTCTCAGTGATGAGTGCTCTTTTAGATTAAGTCTTGTTAGAATTCTGACTTGAAAGTAATTTTTAATCAAACCCTATGAAGCAATTTTTAAGTTATAAATTATGTTTTCATTTTGTCTCTTGTCAATATGTCTCTCTTTTTTGTTATTATAATTACAGGACATACTTGAATTATAGGCTTGTATATCATCGATATTTTAATTTTTTTAAAGATTTTATTTATTTTTAGAGAGAAGGGGAGGGAGGGAGAAAAGGAGAGAAACATCGATGTGCAAGAGAAACATCAATCAGCTGACTCTCAATACATCCCCAACCGGGGACTTGGCCCACAACCCAGGCATGTGCTGTGCCCGGGAATCGAACCAGTGACCTTTCAGTTCACAGGATGATGCACAAACCATTGAACCACACTAGTCAGGGCAATATTTTAATAGTTTTATCCCTGAAATATCAGGAATACACAAACATACACACATAGACACATATACAAGGGGGGAGCCCCAAAACCAGAATTTATTTATTAAAAGTTGTGTATTAACTTTTATATGTTTAAACTTCAGTCATCTTCAAAGTACTTTCCTCTTGATGCAATACACCTATTGAGACTTTTTTCCCATTGCTCAGAACCATTTTTGAACCTGTTGATTTTGATGCCTGTTAGTGTTTCTGCCATTTTTTGTTTCACCTCTTCCACATTGATAAAACTTTTCCCTGTGATGACTTTTTCATCTAGGAAGAAAAAAAGAAGTCACTCAAGGTGAAATTGGGTGAATAGGGAGGGTGGGATGCCAGGGTCATGCCATTTTTGGTCAAAAACTGCTGAACACACAGTGTGGTGTGGGCAGGTGTGCTCATAAATCACTCATCATGAAATGGGCAAACGCGTTGAAAGAGTCTTAAAAAAAAATTCACTCAAGCCAAATGCAGCCTCTCACAACAATGCCAGCTGGTATTCTTATATAGATGGGTTCCTAGAACACTCACCTAGCAGGGGAAGCCTGTACTACAAGGGGCCCACCCTCCAGAGCATAATTCTGGGTTTTTGGGGGTCCCTCCTCATATATTTCCTTTATAAAAGTACGTCTATGCCGGTGAGAGCACTTCTAAGACCTTTAATTTATTTAGTTTGTGATTACTTTAATAAAGTGACAGAAAAAAATAACATATTTGCTGATGTATACTTATATGTGTTTAATGACTTTCTTTATATTTTTCATCAGCTTCTGTAAATATTTTTCTTCAAGGTGAATGATTTTGTGAGGGATAAATTTATGCACAAAGATGGTTCGGTCCCACTTGCAGCAGAAATTCTTGCCGGAGGCTGCGTAAGTACCTGTTTCGGATCTCTCATTGAAAGATTTGCTTCACGTGCACATCACCACGGTGGTGAACAGGTGCAGACTAAGGCTTCTGTTCAACCACAGATCCTGTGCAAGGCAGAGTCTCCTAGGGCACCTCGCCTTTTCCTAGCAAGCAAGCCATCCCTGAGGTGGAAGGGTAAATGTTTCCGATCTTATTGCCTGTTAACCATGCCTGTTGAATTTGGCATTGCTCGCATTGGTGCTGCAATAGAAGTCATTTGGGGCAGACATGTTTGGCCTTTGAAAAATCTTTGCTAACCTTTTTTAAAGTTAAGCTTTAGTTCATTGTTTCCTCATGGCCCTCTCTGCTGGGTCGGGCACGACGATGAGTAGTCTGACGTCAGCAGCCGTGGCTCTCTGCTTTGCTTTACCTGCTAAGTGCCGGCAGCTCTTCAAGCCTCCCAGTGCCTCTGTGGGGAGGACCCTGGGAAATCGCTGGCTGGGTGTGCTCTGCATTGTCAGCAATGCTTGGAATGAGGATTTCTCTATGTGGATGAACAACCTGCATCTTGTTCTTCAGCTCAGCAAAATACGTCTTGTTTTACCTTATGTACAGGTTTGCTCATGTGAATGTAAACATTCTGAGTAAACTGAACTCTCATACAAAGAATGGTGCTATTTCCAGATAAGGTCGGTTAAATAAACAGGCTTTGATCACTAGGGCAATACAATATTGGTATATTTTTCATCTAAACCTGTGGTTTTTATAAGAAAAATGAGGTCACTTTTATTTTTTAATTAGCCTGCTCTGTTCAGGCAACAGTATTTATAAAATAGTCTTTCCTTGAGACTCATTGAGATTAGAAGCTGGACAAACACCTGGGAATATTAAACCTTTGCTTGGAAAGGGCCTGTTGTCCTGTCTAGCATTGAATGGGGTCCCGTGAACATAGCAGGAGCTAAGAAGTCCTGGCCCTGGTAATTCTTAGGAGCTGGGTGGGACTGGGCCACTGCCCGCCTCTCTGTTTGATCACTGACCTGTCATAGACGGCCAGGTAGGGTCCCCTCATCCTGTAACTTTAGGAGCATTCAGGATGAAAAAGGCAGCCTTTAATGCCCTAAATAAAAAGTGCGCACACACAATAATAATACAAAAGAACATTAGGAGTGACAAAAACTGTCCCTCATTTAGAACAGCTACGATTTCTACCTGAGTTACTGGATTTTCTAACTTTAAACTGGCATATCCATAGGTTTTATCTAGCCTGGCCTGCAGGCTGTTCCAAGGGGCCTGGGAGAGCAGGGCATTGCAGTAGGTCAGGTGGGTTGTTTTTTTGTTTTGTTTTGTTTTGTTTTGTTTTGTTTTAAGTCAGGTTTTAAACTTGCTGAAAATGCATGATTATATATTTCAATAAGAATTTAAAATGTGAAATTAATTATGTGATACTGTGCAAGATTTTGGCAATAATCTAGAGGTTTATTTTCTTCTTAATGAAAGCATTTTGCCTGCGCATGGGCCCGGGTGCCAAGGAGATCAGTCGTGGCACGTATCGCCTACCCTAGGTGGTCTTGTTTTCTCCTATGCGGTCGCCCATTTCAAACACAAAGCCCAGACTGGCATCAGAAGTGGTGCCTCGTCACTGTAAAGAAGTGCAGCCCTTTTTCAAACTCGATCTAAACACAGGCTTAAAATTGGAGCCACTTGGGCTTTACAGCTACTTAAAATATCTGTGAAATGAGGTTTGCCGTCCTTCATCTCGAACACTGGGAGACAGTGGTCCTCAGTGTTTCAAGTCTCCTGTTTTGCCTTTTAATTTTTTTTTCAGTCATGGCTTTAAGAAGTAAGAGTTTATTTTCCAGGTAAGCAGTCCTGTAGGTAGCAAACAATCCAAGCCCCTACCTAGATCTCTGAGGAGTGGGAGGAAGGAGTCCATTTTCATTGTGGTTTTTTAAATTGCAGCAGCGTCTCTCTCGGCTGGCTCCGGCAGAGTCTCCCTGATCATCCAAGCCAGTCACACTCCTTAGAAAGTCCTCGTGCGTCCACAGCCTTGTGTGTCCAGCCAGGAATACAAAGGGTTTTGAAAAGTTGTGTCACATGAGCAGTGCCCCTTCTTAGTTCACCCAAGCATTTCCAGGCGTTGACTTTTAAGTCCCTGGGGAGGTCACCTTGCTTCATTATTACTGAGAATTAGTACACTTGGCTGACTTTTGCACTTGTAATCAAAGCTGCTCATTTCTTTGAAGAAGGCCTTTTCTGTTTTATAATCTGTTTTCTGCAAAAACGGAAAATATGCAGGGAGGTCTTTGTCTCATAACCTTTATAGCAAGCACTTAGCTCAACTAATAGTATAATAATATAATGTTTTATTTTGTAGTTTTTTAGACAAACAACAAAAATGATAGTAAATTTGGAGGGAGATTTTGGAGGAAAAGGCGTAAAATTAATTCTGTTCATTTATTTTTGATATAATACTATACATAACTGAAGTGATTAAAATGCTTTTACTGATATAGAAAAGGGTGAATCTTTTTAAATTTATCTTTTGCATATTTAGTTTTAATTTAGAGCAGTGCGAAAAATTTGACTTCAGTTTATAGATTCACACTTACTCGTAGTGATATATTCAACATAGTTCAAAAAGAAACTAAATGCTGAAACTAGAGCTTACAAATTCTTAAGTCTGAAAAGTTCTTGTGATGTGTGTTTTTTTCCATAAGTGTGTTTTCTGTTTTCTAAATTAGGCTAGAAGCTGTAGGGGTTTTGACACAGATGTGGACCCTTAGGTGTCTCTGCACAAAATAATACATACCTTCAGTTTCTTTCCATCCTTCCCCTTCATGGGTCCGGAGCTCAATCCCTGTAGGGAGACGTGACTTCCAACCACTGTCAGTGACGACAGAGGCTCTCAGTAAATGCAGCAGAGGAGAGAGGGCCTGTCACCACTACCCGTTTCCAATTAGGTTCTCAGTGACTTTGAAAACTCACACTGTCTCTGAGTACATTGTTATTGTCGTGTTGCTGTTACTTTAAGAAAAAAATAACTTGTAACACCACGTGGGCTGTAGGTTGCAGGCCCTAATTCAATAAAATAAGTGTGTATCAACTGTACTGTGCATCTAGTGGAATAGCAGGATGAAATCCCAAGGGGACTAGAATCTTTAGTTTGTGATCTTTTGACCTCAAGATCATCAGATAGGGAAATATAAATGACACCATGACTTATTTCAAGGAAGATATTAAAATGATGGTCAGCCCTGGCTGGTGTGGCTTAGTGGATTGAGCACCAGCCTGCAAACAAAAGGGTTACAGGTTCGATTCCCAGTCAGGGCACCTGCCTGGGTCGCAGGCCGGGTCCCCATTGGGGGGTGCACAAGAGGCAACCACACAATGATGTTTCTCTCCCTCTCTCCTTCCTGTCCCCTCTTTCTAAAGATAAGTAAATAAAATCTTTTAAAAAAAGATAATCAATTATTTGGCATGCAAAGTCACATTGAAATAAAAAGAAGTAACATTCACCAGAAAAACAAATGTCAAAAAGTATAAACCTTTGCCTTATAAAGCTCATATTATTAAAAATTATTTGCGTACCAATAAAAATAGTATTCTGTAATAATTTTTGCAAAAATACGTGAACATGCTTTTTGAACAGTAGTCCTTCATAATAGGCCCACTGTATTTTTGTATTGAGACGTGCACACATACATGCATATTTTTGTGTGTGTATATAAATAAATACACCTAATGCTTATGGGAGTTCATATTCATTTTAAGTGGGAAAAATAATTGGTTTGCTCCTGTCACTGGTGCTAAAAGGGATCGGTGAGAATATCACCATTGGGAAAGACATGGTACGAGGAGTAATGTTAACTGCTGTCCCCGGCACGTAAGGTTGCCTCTGTTGTTGTCGCCTGTATTTCATCATGAAGGTGTTGCCCACGTGCATGCTGTTTTTGTGCCTGTTCATACGGCATGTGTTAGATACCATTTTTAAGGCAAGATACCATTTTTTACTATGCGTGTTATTTTGCATCACATTTAGTTCCAGTTAACCTTTATAATTTTGAAAAATAAAAAGATACAGATGCTCATAGGCACACAGCTTAACTTAAGGACATCAAGCCTGACAAAAGCGGCTGGAGCTCCTCAGGTACCTGTCCAGTAGCTCCCTCTAGCTCATCTCCCAAGGGGTAACCCTACCCTGAAATTGGTGTTTCCCTTTTCCATGCATGTCTTGACACTTTTTTTCTACATTTGAGTATATCCCTAAGCCATATAAATGTTTGCTTTTAGATGCTTCATTCTGACCCAGTGTGGTAGGAACAACCCAGAGGATTCCCACATTGATGCCTTTGCGTTTTTTCCCATTAGTGCAGCTTATGCTTTGCTTGTCAGAAAACAATAGTAATTGGGAATATTATTTTCAGATGTTGCATTGTGGCATACAGTGAGCATGTCAGTTATAGATGTGTATGTTTATAGGACTTTATATAGATATAATTGGAACCGTGTATTTATTTAACCAAGTTTTTGTAACTTGAGGTTTCTTTCCTAGACTACAGTCATTTCTTCAGCCTTACCATTTAAACTCATGTTCCATACTGAGTAAATTTAAAATTATAACCCTCCCTACTCTGTCTTACTGTCCCTCCTCCTTCCCTACTTCCTAATGGGAATGATTTTAGCAGTGTTTCTCCATCATTGAAGGGAAGAGGTGTTCTGGTCATCTATTGTTATATAACAAGTCATCCTAAAACTTAGTGGATTCAAACCACAATTTATTATTATTCTCTCATGGTTCTATAGGTTTACTGGGTTGAGCTGGGTATTTCTTACTTGTGGTCCCTGTATTGTTATAGGTGGATAGCAGCTGGACTGGAATCCTAAAGGCTTAACTGAGCTGCATGTCTAAGATGGCTCACATCTGTGGCTGGTGGTGATGCTTGCTGCTGGCTAGGAGTAGCCGGGGCTGTTGTCCAGATCACCTGCTATGGCATCTCTGTACCTTGGGCTTTTCAAACCTTGG